GAAAAGTCACATTTTTAAGGACATTAGATATAAACACTTTTACAAAAATGATAGATCACCATGAAAATTAAATGTTTAAACTCACATCTAACTTCCTGGGGATTAGATCTGTTGAAGCAATGCCAACCTTATTATTTACATATTGTTCAGCACCGTGGAGTCCTTATTATGTCAAGCTACTTCTTTTCCCTTTGCGTAAAGCGTTTTAGGTTTCTTATTTCCCTTTCATAGTTCCTTTCAACTTGATGGTATCCTTGGAAAGAAAACAATGTGGATTAAAATCATGTAAGGTAGTTAGATTTTTCCAAAGGCAAAGGACGTCTGAATGTCTGGTGATTGAGGTCTAGTCAAAATAACCGCTCAGAGTATAAAGATAATTTTGGAGGTTCTTCATTTAACTCTTCTCTACCATATTGTCTTAGTGACTGAAAAACAAATAAAATGAAAAAACCCTTGGCCGTTGAGTTGATTCTGACTCTAGGGACCCTTCAGGACAGGGCAGATTTGCCCCTGTGGGTTTCTGAGACTATTTACCTTTTATGGAAGTAGAAAGCCCCAACTTTCTCCCACAGAGCGGAGGGTGGTTTGTAACTACGGACCTTGTGGCCAGCAGTACAACTCAGAAGCACTACTCCCAAATGAGATGGTAAGTAGGAATTTAATCATATCACGCTGATCTCCTATAGCAATGCTACATTCCTTTGTCTTCTTCCAGGCCATCAGAGAGGCCAGGGGAGGTACTCCTGTCACTCTGGCTCCTGCTCTATTCAAAGTTCCCACAGTGTGATTCAGGGCTCCCTGTTTAGCACAGCTCCCCTCCTTGCCAGCGAGTTGATTCCCACTCAGGGTGGTACTTCAGTTTTTAGTCTTAAGACTTTAAATCTTTATAGGAATAGACAGCCTCCGTTTTTTCTTTCAAGGAGTGACTGGTGGGCTCGAACTGCAGACCTTGTGGTCAGCAGCTCACTGAATAGCCCAGTATGCCACCAGGGCTCGCTTGCCACATCTAGAGGCCTAAGGCATGATTTAAGCTCACTGTGACTGCACCATAAATTCCCAAATGAAAACAGTTTATTCCAAATTGGGCCAAAGGAAATGAAAATCAGCCAGAGTAAAAAGCAATAATTTCATAGGGTTTGGTCTGCCTTCTTACGTCAAGGTAGACAAAATCGACAAAAGGAAACCAAGTGAAGTTGTTTTCCCTTAGAAAGTAATTTTGAAGCATGCTTTTTCTTTAATGCATACTAAAGCACACATACAAATAATTACTTGGATGTTCCACTCTGTGGGGAAAATAGCCTGGAGGTACTTGAGCTCCCTGCTAAGCTTTTGGTATTCATTAGAACTACATTTCCATAATTAAAAAATTGACTGGAAGCTACTCTATTTAATCATGCTTATTTCCAATTTGTCCACATAAGCAAAAGCACCTACAGTGGCTGGCATGCAGATTTGCTGTGGTTGTTAGGTGCTGTCTAGATGGTTCCAACTTATCCTGACCCCGAGTTCAACAGAAGGACACACTTCTGGGTCCTGAGCCATCTCACAATGGTTGTGCTGTTGTTATGTTTGAATCCATTGCTGCAGCCACTGTGTCAATCTACCTCCTAGGTAGCGCACGCGCGCGCACACACACACACAATGGAATAGCGGTAGAATATTTAGATAGCTTCTGTACACCACTAAGGGATTGCAGGAATTACCACAAGGGGTGCTCATTCACATCAGGGGACTCAGCCTTTCCAGGAAAAATGAAATAGAGGTTTTTCTCATGTCTGAAATTGAACACTGGAAGCATATTAATATCTAGGAGGTCCCAGGAGCCCACCTTTGTCCCTCCAGGAGTTCTGCATCCTTGCTTTGCCCATTTGCTCAGAGACATAGTATTCAGAAGATGTTTTTTTGTTTTTGTTTAAGTAAAATAGCTATTTATTCAGCCTCTCGTCATGCATGCCAAAATGTCTTGTGCATATACCATTATAGTTACCACAACCTCTATAACAGGCATGGATGTATATCAAATTATATTTCATGTTACCTGATTATATAAAAATGTAAAGTGAAAATGACATCAATTCCTTTTAACATTAACTAGTAAACAACTCAGCAAAAGATATGAGGCACAAATGTTTAGTAAAACATGACACAAGAGAGAGGAGCAGTAATGTAGTTGTTTAACTTGTCATCATGTTATTAATATACAAAGATAACAAACGTTTAGAACATTGCATTTACTAAGATTCTGACAATAGCTTTATGTAACAAGATCCAGCACACCAGGCTTGCACTCAACTTGGAGACGGTAAAAATCTCAGCTTCAATATGAAGCTGTTAAAAAAAGACAACAGGAAAAAAAAAATCAAAACCTGGTTTTTACATGCTTAATTTCTCAGCAAGTATGCCATTAAACACAGAAATAAACTTTCAGATAGCAGGAGTAAGGAGTTACAAAAGCTAAACATTGCAACCTAAACAAAATCCATATAAAAATAAAGTAACTGTCACTGGTTTCATAACTGGTGAAAATTGAACAGTATAAAACATGCATTTTAGAATCTTTAAACTATCAAGTTCAAAAAGTACCAGTGTTTATTTGAAATGATTACTGTCCCAAGCCAAAGTGTAGTCAAAATTAATTCAAATGACATTAACACATTCTAATGCTAACAAATATTCAGTATTATTAAAGTGGAGGTAAATTCCAGAGTTTTGGGGGCTCTCTCATGCTGCAAAGGGCTCTTTCTCTGGTTCCCTCAAAGCAGCACAGACACACCCCAAGGATGTCACTAAGCTCAGTAAAGAGCCAGGCTGCTTGGAGCCAGCTCTGCCCTCCCCAGGAAGCGTGGCTGAGGCATCCACAAAAATGGGATGCGTGAGGATCAAAGGCACGCTGTTCCGCTAGCTAGAGATAGTCAACCTCCCTCTCCCTCCCGAAAAGCTCCTTCCCCAGGTAAATAAAAGTATATGGGGGGGGGGGGAATAAAATACATCTATCTACAGAGTAAGGATTTTGAAATTTCAATGCAATCCTCACTTTAAAACGTCAATATCTAGAGTCACTGGATATTTCTGAACATGTCTTAGAGATGCATCCAGGTTCAAATTCCGTTGCCTTAAACAACATATTTCTAGTAAACGATACTCACGTTATCCCCCATATTCCTTAACCACTGGTACCGCTGCAGTGCCCCACCTCCAGAGCTGGAGAGGACAGGACGAGGAAAAGAAAGCTGTTCCAGCAGCAGGCCACAGCGAGGGCCCTTCACACAGCGGCGTCGGAGTGGCTATCACAATTCCAGGAAGAATTGTAAAAACAAGGAAATTCATGCATTTTGTAAAGAGGTCGTGTTTCTCACCGTTGAAATTTCCTTAGACATTGCACTTGCTTTTTACGGGAATCCTGGTTTTCGTAACATCATGGCGAGTCAGGACTCGAACTAGCCGCCTTCTTTTTCTTACTGTTTCTTATGTTTCTTTTTCTTCCTCGTTGTTTCTTCTTCTCCCTCTTCCATGATTTTCTTCTCTTTCGCTCGTCCCTCCTCAATATAATCTGATTCTGACAAGGATTTCGATGATAACGGCTTATCCTCAGGCCACAGTTTTCCTTTCTTGCCAAGTCCTTTCGCATCCTTTTCTTTCTCAGTTGCTTCCTTTGACTCCTTTTTCTCTTTAGAGCGATCCTTACGGTCTGAGTCATTTTCCGATAGGAGTTTTCCGAAGATTCGTGTGAACGCTCTTCTTTTTCTCTCTCCTTTCCCTCGTTTCTTATCCTCCTCTTCAGCCTCGGAGGAACTGCTGGAAGCATCAGAGCTCGATGAAGAAGAAGACGAAGACCTACCAGATTTCTTCTCTTTTCCTTTCTCTGTCTTTCTTTGGCTGCGCTCTCACTTCCACTCAATAGTTTCTCCCGGTGTTTTCTAGTTCTTTCTTCCGGTTCTCATTTGTTTTTTCTCAAATTCAGCCAACGCCTTGGAGCCCTTCATGCCCCTTTCTAGCTGTTCTTTCCCTTCTCCCCACGTAGGCCTTGGCCGATTCCCATGAGCTTGTATCATTGGCCCTGATGATTGGACTGGACCTTGATCTGGCCATTGCTATTGGGTTCATAGCGGCCACCCGCCTGTCCCTCTTCCCCATGGTGCCGAGGTCTGGAGGCGTGCGGGCTCAGATGGTGATGGGCACCAGGCCTGTGAGGCCGTGCCCTCGGCTCATAAGATGTTTTTCACAGAGCAATTCTTTACTTCAAGCTTCCCAATGTCAGACTGACGTACGTAGGTGGGGTTTGGGGAGAAAGGCAAAGCGCCTGACTCATTGTGGCTTCAGTCTGTGTTCTAAATAACAAACAAACCAAACCAGCTTGTGCTCAATTAAAAGCCTGAAATGTAGCTCGCTGGATTGAGCCCACTAGAAATGAACAGGGCTTATAATAGATTTTAACGTTCACCGGTAACCCAGCTTATAGGACCTGGGAAAATCCTGTTCGTGTTTGATCTTACAAAACCATCTGTCATCAAACAAAAGAATTAAAATCGTTTTGCCAAGTACTGAAAGATTTCGGTAAGCTGACAGAAATACATGTTTTTCTATATAAACATGTTTTAATATAATCCAAGAAACCATCTCACATGAAAATATGGAAAAAAATTTAAACAAGATACAAAGCCTAGTGCAGAAGGCAAAAAGCTGCGTGGGAGAAATGGAATAACTGTCAGCATGTACAGGCATCTTACTGTATCTTCAGTAGTATGAGATCTGTAAGACAATTTCAATTTAGTCAGGTGTAAATATGTAAATATTAGTTGTATCTTCAGGCTTTTCACCACAAGCTTAATAAAAAAATAAGTGAAATACCGTGAAACCCCCTCAGTTTCAGCAGAACCTTACTGTAAAGACCAGCCCTTAGCACACACGATCCCCTTTAGCGTCACCAAGGGAGCCAGAACTCTCCATTTCCTTAGCCAGAGTACAGTACCAGGACGAGACCAATTAACCCACATGCAAAATTAAGATTAATAAGCCTTTATTGGCTGGCGGTCAAGAGGCAGCTAATGCTTAATTCACTCTTGACTCCAACTGGCTAAAGACAGAGGCGTTTTGTACTGTGGAATAAGCCAGGCACCAGGGCAGGTGGCATCACGCCATCCGGAAATACGAGGACTTATACAAATAAAATGGGGCTTTACAAGTAACATCAGCAATTTCAAAAAATAAATAGTCATGGGTCAGCAGTTACAGAGAGAGTTACCATAAGGCAAAGTAGTCATACGTGTGGCCAGTACAGAATGGCTGCTCTCAGGGGAATAATGCACTATGTTTACATCAGGGTTAATTGTGGTGTATGACTGCTGCAAGGGTTTTACTCTCAAAAGCGTATTTTTGAATGAAAAAAATACTTTATTGGTAATATTTAATGACATTTCATACCAGAGCTCATAAAGCTCTTTAAGAATATAAAATAATACTTAAAACCCAGCAAGAACATTCTCATGGAACTGTCACGGGAACATGGTGTCCTCCTTATGTCCATGTTAGGAGCACATTGTCTCACGCATTGTCCGTAGGGCCCAGGGATTCCATTTCGACAGCTGCCTTTGGCCTTGGGGATGGGTCACCACCCCTCTTCTTTCGGAACTCTGCTGCGATTTCTTCAAAGGACTTCCCTTTGGTTTCGGGAACTTTAAAGAATGTAAACAGGGTAAAGGCCAGTACCACCCCAGCAAAGAAGAAGAACACGTAGGGTCCGCAGAGGTCCTGCAGAGAGAACAAAGAGCAAGTTTTCTGATCAGCAGCGGTTGGTCCCTGCCTCCGGTGGAGCAAATTCACGCGTCAGGCTGCTTACCACAATGTACTGGAAGCACACGGCCACGAGGAAGTTGCAGGCCCAGTTGCTGAAGGCGGCCACGGCCAACGCTGCACTCCGTGGGCCTTGACTGAAAAACTCAGCCACCATGAACCAGGGAATGGGGCCAGGCCCAATTTCAAAGAAGCTGACGAAAAGAAAGATGGCTACCATGCTGACGTAACTCATCCAAGTAAATTTATCCTGAAGTGGGGAAAAAAGAAAGGTGGTCAAGAGGTAACGGACCGCTGCTTCCGTTAGCTAAGCTGCCTCCCATTGAGTCCAGCTCTGGACACAGCTCTCTTGCTTATGTGCTCATGTTCTGAGTCAGGCTTCAATCCCCCCGAGGTCCCTCACAGCAGGCTGCTGGATTAGCACCGGAGGGAACCCTGGCTCTGCCTTTTCCTGGGAAAGAGGCGAGGAAAGAGTCCAGTGATCTTGGCTGCTGCTCTCACCAGGGGCAGCCTGCCTACCTTGGGAAGTTCAGGGACTTGGCCGAGGTCACCCAAGCAGTCAGTGGCAGAGTGGGTTGAGGTTGATTCCAGAGCCAGTCCTGCTACACTGCCTCCCTGGGTAACAATCCCAGTCTGCATGCTGATCGTCAGTCTTCAAACAAGAAACTCGTCGTTGCCCTTTCCCTGGTATTCGTGTGTTTTATTATGTCTGAATCCTCCTTTGTATTACATTCCCCTGACTTCATTTTAGTAGTCAATTTCTACTGTTTCTGACTTGGAACACAAAGGTGCCATCACTTGGTAACCCCAAATCCCAGGGCAGACTCCGAGCTCACCAGTAACACAAGTCCCACCGACATGAAGATGGCACAGAAAAACATGCCACTCATTCCGATCAGAAACAGAGATCTCCGCCCTGCCTTCTCCACAAGGAAGACCTGGGGGGTGGGGGTGGGGAGAGAATCTATATGTATAAATTTATGATGAACGTATGTTCACAGCATATGTTTTACTTATACATATATAAAATAGATTTATATATGATAACATATTCTACACATGCATATAAACATACATTTATGTTTATACACATATTTCTATTTATACATCTACACAAACATAAATATATACACATATTTAAAAAATCAGTTTTATGGGTCATCAAATAGTGATGCTATACTTAAACAGTGTTCATTTTCAAATAATTCATTTTTTTGTCCATTTCACAGAGGGGAGGCTCAGGGAGCAGTGCCTCCCACCCAAGGCAGCAGAGCTGTCTCATTGAACAGAAGAGAGCAACCACGACCAGTTTAACGAATCGTGTGGATTTGATCGGGGTCGTCTAGGGCTAGAACCACAGCTTCCCAACCCTCTATGTTTATCACCTTGGGCTCAAAGTTCAGAGACTATACACCTTGGATTTCTCCCTATTGATTTCCCAAGGAATGAAAATTGGAAAGAAGGTTCTACATAGCAAATCACACTAATTTATCTTTGATAATTCCAAGAGTTTGTTCGCTACAGACATCTGCAGGAGCACAATCAATTAAACACACACGCACACACACACTCATTGAGTCAATTCTGACTCAGTGAACCTTTAGGGCAGAGTAGAACTGCCCGTGGGGGTCCTAGACCTTCCATCTTTAGGAGGGTGGAGACCTTTCTTTCCTCCTGGGAGCTGCTGGTGGTTTAAACTGGTGACTGTGGTTCATAGCCTAACTGGAAACCTACCGCTCCACCAATGCTTCACTTCCTCTATGAAGTGTCGACTATTTCCCTCCAATCTTCTTATTGTTAATAAAGTCAAATCATGACCACTCACTTGACAGAATGCTTACTTTAATTGTTTTACCAAAATAGTCAGAGCTTCACATTTCAGGTGTGACGACTCATACCCGTTATTGGGAATGAACAATCTGAACAAAACAGACACTAAAGGGAAGGGTTAAAGTGCTTTATCTTAGGATAAGAGAGCACTTATCCTAATTCGGGAGCTATATTGTGGGCCTGTGGACCTTGGCATTCATTCATGGTTATAATAAAGATTTACAATTAGTTAGCCAAGGCCAGACTGATTGTACTAGAAGCTTTGCCTGCTTGTTGTAACATTGTCAAGGCTGGTGAGTCATAAACAGGACAACTTGTCAGAATTGCTGCTCATGTTGCTCAGTGAATTTGCTAGATCCATCAATCTACCAGTGAATCAGTGGCAAGCCAGTGCCTGTAGCCGAGTAAGCTCTAGTTTTGAAAGGATGAGAAACATTTCTTGCTCCCTTCCACGCGCGACGTCATTCATTAGAGTTCCAAATTACTTCATCTAGGGTGATACTAAGCAGAGTCCACAGACAACTGCTGAGAATCAAGTGGGGAAGGACCTGCTCACATTTACAAAATTTCAAAGCACATTTTCTCTCCCGAGTGATGACGTTCAAGGTTGACTTGATGTCTAACCACTAGAAAATATGAACATTTCTTCCCCAACAAAGGTATTTATCTTTTTCTTTTGTTTCAGAAGATTTATGATCTGTTACCAACTGAAAGGATTTCCTTCTATTTTCATAATAAACTCTGTATACACCTGGAAAACGGAATCCGACTTTCCTTGCAGCATGGTGTGTACCAGAGGGTGAGACACGGCACTGACCAATGGCTGGAGATGTCTGCCCAGTTATACCCCTCAGAGAGTGGGTGCTCCCCAGTCCTGGATGGCTAGCTAGAGTTTGCTGGCCACTGCTTCTCTTCCAGACCCATCCTGCCTGCCAGGGCCCACCAGATTCTCTTTCATTTCTCCCCGGAGATGATAGACTCTCTATCATCTGACCCGTGCGCATAGAAGGCAATAAAGGGTATGGACTATTATTATTCATCGCTGCATCGGGCCACTCACTTCTTTCTTTTCCCAAACACTCATGCAGGACACACCGGTTGATCATGTTCTTCCCAAGCTGGTGAAACAGCAATATGTTATCGGTGCATGTTTCTATTTTCACTATTTATTTTAAAAGGTTACACAGACTTTGGGACTATGTCTGAACTTTAGGAAGGGAACTGATGGTGAGGGGTTGTCCTTTGCATCCTTTTTGAACCTTCAAATAACTTTTCAAAAATGAATATAATTAAACACCTTAAATGTTATCTCGGAGTCCTGCAGTCCTGGTTAATTAGAGAACTGATTAGAGCTGATCTATTTTCACTGCGTCCTTCCTCTGCTCTAAAATTTGCACAGAACAAGAGGATGAACTCTAAAGAGTTATTTTTTTTTAAATCAAGACAGTTAAAAAACAAAACAAAAACCAATTCTTTCACTTCCACTGGTGCTAGAGGGGCAAAGCAAAAAATGAAATTGTGCAGGAATCTCCCATTTAGGTTTTCTCAGAATTTGGGTTCTCCAATCTTGATAAGCTGATGCTTTACATATCAAGTTCTATTCAATCTTATTCTATAAGGCATTTTAAATAATAATCTCTATGCCAGAAAAGTCTGTTGAGCAGGCAGTAGGATCAGTAAAAGACAGCATTATTCCAAGAGACAAAAGGATGTGCTGTGAGCTGTTAAGGAACACAGCATCCCAGTCAGAGGCCATCACTGATTGACAGGTGGCCTCTAGGCCTCCTCTCTGAAAGCTTGCCTACATAACCACTGGGGTGCTCTGTCCTTGCTTCCCTTTCCAAGGTCTAGCACTGTTGAATGTATCTGGACAAACCTGCCTTTGATCTCGGAGCCAGGTTATACTTGACTGACTATCTTAAGGTAATAGTTTAAAGTCCATGTGCAGAGAATGAAAAACACATGACTAAGGATTATTGAGTAGAGTACGGTGACTGAAATGCAAAAGCACATGCTTTCTGAACAGTCTGCATTCCAGGTAAAAATAAGTCCAATGACTTCTTTTTAGAGTGAGAGTGTTGGGAAAGTTTTTGTTCTTGTTGTCTATTTGAATGCTTACATTGTTACATCAAGTATTATTGTTGTCAAGACATTTAATCATTCCTTATGTGGTACAAGAAATCTGACTTAAGAAGAGTCGAGGGTTTTGAGAATGATGAGGGCAACGAGCGTATAGGTGCGCTTTACACAGTTGACGTTTGTGTGGATTGTGATGAGTTGTATGAGCCCCAATAAAATGATTTTGAAAATTAAAATTAGAAAAAAAGAAGCGTCTATCATCTTTTCCCATTGTGGGAATAAAAGATGACATTTCAAATTCTTGTTTCATCTTCTTACAATATTACACATCATTTTATGTATCGCTAGAATCATGCCCTTTGAGCTATCTGAAAGTTCTGTCCACTAGCCTACCATTGTCAAAATTTGCTAACTGTTTAATTTTTCTAAGAGGTTTAGTTATCTATCTTGCTTATTTTTCTTATTTCAATTTATAAAAGCCCATTAAATTGAAAATAAAAGTTTCTCTTGAGACACCATCATAATAAAAAGAATTTCCATCATGGAAGGAGAGAGACATAGATAGAAGAATTAATATGAACAGAAATGATAAACTGTGGACACATCCCCAACCAAACCAAAGTCACTGCCATTGAGTCAATGCTGACCCCTGTAGGTTTCTGAGACTGTAACTGTTTATGGGAGAAACAAGCTCAGTCTTTCTCCTTCAGAACTACTCATGGTTTCAAACTGCTGACCATGAGGCTTGAAGCCCAACGCTTAACCACTACACCACCAGGGATCCTAGAAACATATCCAGAGCACAGAAGGAACCCAGGAATTTACAAAGTTCTTTGTGCTCCCAAGTGAGTAATTGATTCACAAATAAAGGATAGCAGATGAGGAAGCGTCCTGACCTACCTTCTTAGTTATGCCTAATCTCAACATAGTTGTTGGTTTATCCCAGGGGGCGGAGAATGTCTGGTCCGTGGGAAGTAAAAGGCCCACAAAACCATCAATACTATCTAACACCACATACTTTCCCAAAGAGAAGCCATTCCAGCCATCACAGGAGGGATGAGTCAAGATAGCAGGCTAATTTTTAAGTCGATCATTATGTATGGCCTCCAAATAATGCTATAAATATACAAATGGCCCTTAGTAGACCAAAACAGTTCTCCATCTCTGATTAATCCACAGTGAGGACTCTTCCCAGGACTCCATTGGTTCATTACAATTATTCCGAGGACGTGGGCAGTAAGTTTCTGCTCCCTCTTCAGACTGCAAGGATTGCCCTGTCCCGGGACTGGGGAGCCAGAGGGATGTTTAATGAGGGTCGTTACTTACAGAGAGAGCAGTGAAAACAGTATTGACAGCACCAACTCCGATGGTCGCATACACAGGCTGGCTGATTCCCGCTGACTGAAAAATGCTGGTTGAGTAGTAAAAGATCTGAAAGTGAACACAAGCTCTTCTTAATCAAGGAACCGAGAACTGAGAGCTTTAAAGCAAAACATGTTGGTTGTCTACTTTGAGTTGTTTCAAAGGAACCACAGCCCTTCCAAACCCAAACGAAAACCCAACCCACTGCCGTCCTGTCGATGTGAGACTCCTGACAGGAGGTCAGAGCTTCAACTTGCTCCTGAGGAGTGCCTGGTGAATTTGAACCCCTGGCCTTGCAGTCAGCAGTCAAAGGTTACCCAGCAGTGCCACCAGGGGTACCATAGTTCTTTTTTTATTTTT